ATATATATATATAGAGAGAGAGAGAAAGAGAGATTTAGAAGGAGGAATATGAATAATAAAACAAGTGGATCTTTTGAAAAATATGCATATAAATTTAATGGGATAACATTGACAAATATATCAAAATGTAATATACTCGTAATATATGTTAGTTATGTATATAAATAATTCATTTCTAGCCCCATGTAAGTATGTATTATTTAGTTTAACATATTAAAAAATTGGACGGAGTTTGTGAACTGATTTTGGGCAATCTTATCAAAGTTACACACGTATCAGTTCATTAACATTGAATTTAGAGTTAAAAATCTCCTATCGCTGCTACGATATTGCACAATGCTTTCCTAGCATCGCTTTCTTGAAATACGTCAAGAACTTCGGTCGCTTTTTGAGAATGTTTCTTCTGTAATTGTTTCGTAAGTTCAATGCCAGGACCTTGACTTACAATGCTGCGTACCTGTAACAATACACGATGATAATAACGATTTAAGTAAAAAATGTTGTTCTAATAGAAAATCATGCTAACTACTCACCTTTGCATAATCTACATTATCTACCGATTCCAAACCTTTATCTATTTCTGTTAAAATAGATGGATCATGTTCTATGTGAAACATAACAGGGGCGGAACATAAATTAAAGGATGCAGCTGATTCTTTAGCGGTAAAAATTCCTACATCCAAACATGCCTAGAAACAAATAATCAACATAATTATACGTATAATTAGGCATAATATATAATACTATAGATAGAATACTATAGAACTTACTTGCCAAGCTAATGCCAAATGTTTTCCAAATTCGTGGCCATGGTTTTGAATGTCAGCGTTATGACCAGCTAGTTTTAATGTACCTTGACAAGATTTTCCAAGTAAACTACCAGCGCTTAATACATTTTTCAATGTCCATTCTTTGACGGCATAGCCTTTACGATTAGATGGGGGTATACGTGGTAATGGATTATTTTGCTTATCTCGACGTCCAAGGAATTCTGATTCAACCACATCTTTTATAGCAATAGACATCAATTCAACTATCTAAAATGGAATACAAGTTTTTATAAAATTAACTAATATACAAGATATTTACATACATATTTACATACATCTTGATTCCTGAGACTTGCCAATTCAACGCAACTATTACAGAGCAAGTAATCACCGCTTAATAGAGCTATTTTATTACCAAATGATATATCATGAGACTGGCATATTTCTGGATACATATCAGGACTGATATGTACAATACTTTTATGCATAAGGTGACTTGTACGTATCATTTCAGTAATTTCTGCTAATGCTCGTTGACTATATGTGTATATATATAGATATAGATATGGATATGTATATATATATATATATATATACGTAAGCAATTTTTAAATAAAACTATTTACATATACGCAATATTATGTTATTAACATTGTTTGTATTGTATTTTTGTTTACCTATGTAAAACGCCAGCAGCTTTATCTTCTTCCATGTCATTTACATTTAAATGACCAGCAGCTTTAGATATTAATAATACAATTAAACCCCAAGCTTGCATATTATGACGACCATTGTATATCAAATCTCTGAAGACACAAAGAAGTAGAAGGAAAGTGTATACAAGTATTGTTATATTAGAAAAATAGTTTCTACTCACTTGGCTATGGATAACAAAGGATGATTAGATCCAACTAATTTTCTCAAGTGTAAAGCCACATTGGCAATTTCATCGCTAAGTAACCATCGTAAACTTAAAAAAGATGTTGGATAGCCCACTATTTTCTCAGCTTCAGAAACGGCTTTATTCCAATCTGGTTTTTGACTTACTATTGGTTTGGCAGCTAACATACAACGTTCATCTAAACGAATATATTTTTCTCTAGAAGAATGGATATTCTTCTTGATAGTTAACACAACATTATACTTATTGCGACATAAACTTTTCATAATATAATCGTTTTTGAGCAAAGTTAAAGCAAACTTATTCTTCGACATCTTCGAGCTTCGCTTATTTTCAATAATTAAAGATAAACTTTCTTCTCTATTTCACGCTTATCACATATGCAACAAGTATTCTACGTAAAAACATGCTTGACGTGATTTAACTTTCACATTTTATCCTCGATTTCAATAAGGTCAGTGTGGAGGCTATATTCGTATCTTTGATAGATGGCGCGCTTTCCAATTATACCAAAAAGCGACACTGTGGAACGCAGTGTTCGAAAAAGCACAACAAAAAAGAGAACTATTCTTTTCTCTGCCTATGATTTTTAATTATTCAGATTGGTATTAAAAACAAAAAAAAAACAAACTGTTTGAAGAAACAAGTGACAATAACATTACTTAACCTCGTATATATAATTTATTTACGGTATATTTTATTAGTACCGTTATATTATCGTCGTTTAAAAAACACTGTTATTTTACTTATATATAAGTAAATAGTATCATAAAGTTGATAGAATATTCTTAGATGATGATAACAATTTCTTCTTCTTTTACGACGGTAATAATACATTTTCTTAATGTAAATGAAGTTTTGTAAAAGAAGAATGCAAATTATTTTAAATTTCTATAAAGTTATTTTTTTTAGTAGATGACGACGTCTCAAAAAATCCGAGAGCTGTTATCGATGAAACTACTGATTATGAAGACTATGAGATTCTTGAAGAAAGAAATAACAATTATGTTATAAATTTTGTTGTATTTATTGAATTAATAACGAATATTTCTAGTGAACAACGTAATATCAATAAATAGTCATAGATCTGCTAAAGCTAAAGAGACTTTCTTTAGTTAGAGAAATTCGAGACAACTGACAGATGGCGTGATTGGCTCAATATTTTTAACACTAGTTTTACTTTCTTATACAATTACTGTTTTATGAATCAGCCATGTTTTTTCTTTTCTAGTTCTGTTACAGTTACTGTAGTTCAACTACAGGTATGTTTCAATTTATTTTACTTTTATTTATCTCACTTAGTTGTTAAAATTATTATTACTGAACGATTGATATCTCAATCACTATTCTCCTTATTAACATAAACATTATTTTCAACAAATGAACACGTTTTATGTAAAATTTGCGTTAGCACATGGTTTGTGTGCGCGTGGGTAAGCCTCTAATGGAAAAATAATGGAAAATTAGGTTTTTCGTCGAATTATAATAGGACTTGTTGCTATATGAAAATAAACTTTTATTTTTTGATCGGATTAATAATATCAAAGGGTTGTTAAATATATATTTTGTTAGTTTATTGATTTACTAATTTGATAAATTGGTATTGTTGGAAAATCTAGGAAACGGTCATCATGCAGATTTTTGTTAAAACACTCACAGGGAAAACTATAACCCTAGAGGTAGAGGGATCCGACACTATCGAAAATGTCAAAGCTAAAATTCAAGATAAAGAAGGTAAGTAAATCTATTAAACCTTATTAAATCTATTGTTATCAAACAAATACTACACATATGAAAAGATAAATTTGTTTATTTTTATTAGGAATTCCTCCCGATCAACAACGATTAATTTTCGCTGGCAAGCAATTGGAGGATGGTAGAACTTTGTCAGATTATAATATTCAAAAGGAATCTACTTTGCACTTGGTTTTGCGTTTACGAGGAGGTGCAAAGAAACGTAAGAAGAAGAATTATTCGACTCCGAAAAAAATCAAGCACAAGAAGAAGAAGGTTAAGCTTGCTGTGCTCAAATTCTACAAGGTATGTATTTACGTATAGAATTTTTTTTTTCTTTTTTTTTATTAATTTTTATTATAACTCGTTCAATGTATATATCTCTATATTTGTTAGGTCGATGAGAATGGAAAGATCCATCGACTAAGACGAGAATGCCCTAGTGAGCAATGTGGTGCTGGGGTCTTCATGGCGGCTATGGAAGACCGTCATTATTGCGGTAAATGTGGTTACACGCTTGTCTTTAATAAACCAGAAGATTAATAAATAATAAATACAAAACATCTTCTTTTTATTCTTCTTTTTTGTTAGAACTTTGTCCTTTTATTTCGAGTTTTAAAACCTTCAGGGGGCGTTTGCTGTTCCGTCGACAGCCACCTTTTTTTTTCATAAGGTGAAGGAAAATGTTTTCCGTTGTTACCGTGCTGAGTAATTGTTTTCGGGTCTTATACAACAATTGCTTGATTGTTTATGATATTTTTTTCAAAATTTGCTTGATCAATTTTAAATGAAATTTTGCAATTTTCACAGATCATATGAAAAGAATACTTCTTGTACCATTTCTTGTACCAGAATATTAAGAAAAATAGACCAATAAGATTTATGGTCTATAAAGGATTTGATATTGAATAGTTAGTATTTTTGATTTTCTATACCTTTATGGCATGTTAAACAATAATAATGGAAAAATGCAGATAGAACAAATATAATTTGAATGGTGTATCGTTTATTTGTTTCGTCAAAAGATTCAAGCATTAGGTTGATGTTGTCCAAAAATGAAGTTTCGATTTTACCGTCATGTGTCGTATATATCCGACGTTCGGCTCCCCGATTTTTCATGTGGATGACGGAAATATTCGTCGTTCGGAACGAAAGGGTTAAAAATTAGAAACTTTTCATCAAAATCAATCAAGATGTACACACTCGAATTCATTATTAACCTAAACGCTGTTTTTTTTCTTTTTTTTTTACATATTTATGTAGGTGTAGAAAAAACAGCTTTAAAATACAAAAATGATTAACATAAAAATAGATAGATCTAATTAATTACTTTTAATTAATCAATTATAAAAGCCTATGTAATAAATCAAAGTCATTTTGAAACAATAATCCATTCGTTATGTTTTACACTAAATATATCTATTTGATGACATTTATAACAGAATTAATTATTTTTCTCATGTAAAGTAAGTTTGTGTAAAGTATTATACATACATATTCAGTAACACTAAGAAATACATTAATTTCAAATACAAATAGTAAATGTTTAAATATTAATCACTAAATTATTCTATATATATATATATAATTTGTAGAATTTTTAAATATAATCACAGTGCATCAATAAGTTCTTTCCCCTTTCTTCAGCTATACACAAGATGATTATTGATGGAAACAACATTAACGAGAAAACAAATCTGAAATGAAATTATATTTTGCTGTAGGTGTTGTAAAAGTGACATTGGTAAGGTAAGTTTATGTATGGACAATATACCTTGAGCTAACGAAGGAGCGTAACATTATTCCAATAAATTGATTTATAATTCAGATTTACTCTGTTGTCCTGTGCGAGTATTAGTATTTTTCAGAGGCGGTTTTAGCACTGAAAACATCTTTTCAGTTGCGGTAGGATGAATGCTCATTTGTAATTCCGTTAGAGATTCTTCAGTCTGCACAAAAGAACAATATTATTATTTTCATCATTTAATAAATAATCAAATAAAAAACAAGTACAATATTTATTTAAAATGTGCTTGTGTAACTTACTTGTCTAAGTAATTGCGCAGCGGTATGTAAAACTCGTTGCCATTTTCGTACTTCTACATTATGCAAACTTTCTTGTTGCTGTAATAAATTTATCCATTCTTCTTCAGTCTTTGGGGTATTCCTATAGATAAGAAATACGTTTAAAATAAATTCATCAAAATTACAATAATTTATACGAATGTTATATTAATAAGAAGATATGTACTGCATTTACTATCAATTAATGTAATACAACAAGCTTACAATTACATGCGTATTTAAGGATTTATAAAATATTATTATATTTCAATTGTTACACATACTTAAGAACATGTAAGTCCATTATTGTGTAAGCTGCAGCTTCTTCCAGGCCCCATAATTTGTAATACAACAATCCATTAATTATCATTAGACATAATACAGCTACCAGAAGCATTGAACTAACTATCATGCCTGCATCGCTTCTAGTACTGGCACCTATGCATTTAATCGATAGAAATAAATAGATTTTGTTTACATTACAAATGATATAAACATACAAACACAAGAGGATATATATATATATATATATACTCTCTTATATATTTTATAATACCATTATTATTGTGTATATGTGGCAAATCTGTAGGTAAAGATTGATGGTTGGGAGATATATTATCTGGTGAATGATTTTGTAAAGCACTTCCTACGCACGTTGCTCGTCTCCTTCTACGTGTTTTTCTCTTTAATCCTGCACTCGCTGTACCTTCTTCGCATTCTAGATTCAAAGCTTTTATTATATTACTAAAATAATCATCAAGTCCAGCCCAACAACTTTTTTCTATCATACCTATCACAATCAGATTTAACAATTAAACAAAAATATATGTTTCATTAGAAAGAAGGGGTTTCTTTAAAAACTTACTTTTCACAAAAGACCAAACATTCTTTTTATATTTAATTTGTGAATATACTGCTAGACTTGTTTCATTGTCCGATACGCTGTTCATACAATAATGAGATAACACGCTAAAGGAATCTGCATATGGAATGCCTGCATTTGTGCATTCTACATCAATGCAGTAAAGATGGCCCGGTCTGCTACACGGCAACATAATCTAAATACAATATGAGGTAAATTACATTTAGCATTATTACCTTATTTATAAGATATACATATATATCATGTAAAGTGTTTTGTTTTTCTTTATACCTGCGTTTCCGTAACTAAGGAAGTCCTTGGACCAATTGCTTGAGTTAACGATACTGTCATAGAAATAGTCCTCATTTTTTGACCAGTTTGATCATTCTGCGTCCACGCAGACTGCACCAAATCTAAATCAATGAAAACGACATAGCTGGATTTTAATTTAGTAAATAGGCAATATATATTAGATTAACCAGAAAATAATAGTTAATATTATCATGTCTGATCAATCCAATATTACAAATACTTAACAATATTATATTTTATAGTTTTCTCTATTTGAAAAGTGTAATTTATTCTATATATTACCAGTAGTTTTGCGAGCAGTGTGAAAATCCAAAAAAAATTTGGAATTTGTGAATAACAAGGTGAACAACTGATCAATATGTATAGGGAAAATAGTTTTATACAGTTCACGACCTTCGTGCGGAGAAGTACATTTCATAGCTCCACGAATGCTAAGTTTTGCTAAAACACACACATTTATTTTTTTATTATAGCCAATAAATAAAGACAATAAAACAAAACATATAAATATATAATTACTAGTATGCTTTTCAGCTTCACTTTCCGTCGTATCGCTTAGATCAGTTGGATCAAGAACTGGATCTGTTCTAGGCTGAAGTGGGGGTGGAGGTGGAGGTAAAGATACAATTTGTTCCTCTATTTCATTAATTGGTTCTACAATAGGGGAAGTTGAATTTTCCATGCTTGCACCTTCTGCCTATATACGTTTTTTAAAAGATAAAATATATAAATACGATAATTTATTGCAGATTGTAAAATTTGATATTAAATATATTACTTCAGAAAATGATTCCACAGATAATCGTGTTGAAAATTTCTCTTCGTCTGTAGCTGCTAATGGTGGTACATAATCTTCATCGTCGGACGTTAATCCCAATTCATCCCCATAACTAGTGTGAACAAGTTGCCACATTTCGGCCATACTCATAGGCTAAAAAGAAAAAAAAAAACTTGAGGAAATGATATTTTTTTTTTTTTTTTTTTTTTTTTTTTTTTGTTGCTTTTATCCGAATATAATACTTAAGTAATATCAAGGTAAAACTTATATACCAACAATCTCTCTCGTATTAATCTTGCTTCTACTATCAAGATAAGATAATATAATAAGACATTGATGATGTTACTAGCATAAGCACATAAATGTTATTATAAAATTTGTTAGATGATTTGACTAAGACATAAATCAAATTTGTCCTTTGTAATATGAAATTCATCCTACCTGACCAATCAGAGCATTTTGCCAAACACGGAATAACATCAAATACGTCTTGTCCCTTGCACCAAACGAAGTTAAGAAAAATTTATCGCTAACTGTAGATATTAAGATAGCATTGGGAATCACAAGTGCTGTTTTTTCTTTGGTAATAGATGTAACGTCTTTCCAACGTAGAGACACCAATGTTTCCCACATGAAAATATTTGCATAAAAGCAGACGTAGTTTTGAGAGACATAAAGCCTTCCATGCACTAATATCTCGCGTTGTAGGGCACAGGAATAATCTAAAAATCCAATTTTTATATATAAAATAGGGCATATAGAATTAACAAGGAGAATACAAAATTAGATTCTAAAGGAATAAAACTAATTTATTATACAATATAGTTTAATGTGCATCCATTAACTATCAATTTTTATGTAAACAATCATTAATTGATTTAATTTAAGAAAAATTAAGATATTTACTTATGTTGTTAAAAAACCAAAAGTATTGTATTAATTGATCGATCAAACAACAGGGCATCATGCAACAATATCGATAAATATAATTTGTATCTTTTTTTTCTTTTTATATGATAAACACGCCTAAGTACCAACAACAATTGTCTTCTAATTTAACGAATACGGTATTGTAACATGAATCTTCAAACCATGTTTATGTATATAAGGTATTAGTTTTTCTGATAAATATATGAAAGATTACATTTGAACAAAATTTCATACTCAAAGATATTAATCAGATGCACGTTTATGCAATGAATAATAATCTTCAATAAAAATAGAGAGAGAGAGAGAAAAAAAAATAAATAAAAGAAAAGAGTTTGTATAACATCAATTTCTCTTAAAAAGTAACTAAATAATGCCATATCTGAACAACAAAAGCAATGTCAGATGAGGTGGCAGGGGATAACTTACTAAGGAGAAAGATGATAGATAGAGATGTTTCACAATCTGATTTGTGGATTCAGGATTCTTCTATAAAGGTTCTACAATTGATATAGTCTCGCATGAATAACACTTAAAGCTATAAAAAGTGTAAGAAATATTTTAGAACTTTGCTAACCCTATTGACCTGCTTTTATTGTATCCTTTTTTTTTTTTATTATTATTTAAATATAATATATGTCCTTTAGTAAAATAAAATTACTTACCTACAACTAATCTCTCATCATCCGGAACATCTTTAAATATTCGTTTAAAGTCTTCTGATCGAGATTTGTACGTTGGGTATAAGACATGGTACCAGGATTTCTTTTTATTTCTATCTCCATTCCTGGATTCCTTTTTACTTTCGTGTGCAGAACTCTTATTATAATCTATTGAATCGAATGACTTGTTTATCGCTTCCTAAATAACAAACGATAATGAAATATTTGAAACTTGATGAAAAAGCAGCTTTAGAAGAAACTTTAACACTAATGTAAAATTAAATATAATATCACCTGCGATTGATCATCAGATTTATTTGCACGATTGGACTCTTTATTTGAGTCAGAATTTAATCTAATATATTCTCGTTTGCAATTAGCTTTAGGGCTTGGGCGAGGAGATAAATTAGGACTAGATATAGGGCTACCACTTCCACTATTTATTGTTTCTTGAGGTATCTCGGTTGATATTCCATTTCCTACATTAGTAGCGCCACTCTGATGTCCCAAATTTGACGAGTTTATACTATTTATTACATCATGACTAGACATTAACAAATTTTCAACCGATTTATTCCTATAAAAAGAAGAATGTTGAAGTCAAATGTTGTCTTCAAAATAAGTAATAAACGTTTGCGTTATCAATAATGTAGCTACGAGCGGAACATGACCAAAAAAAGAACTCATATTAAATAGAGTTAGTATAATGCATTGAGTAAAACTTGCACATGAAGATACATACATGCTTGATACAGGATATTTTTGTATCAATTCCACTTTATAGTGTTTAATATGTACACAATAGCATTGTCGAATAATTCAGTTGTAGAATATGCCACCCATTGAAACTCCAGAGTATTACAAATTAATTACACACAACAAAGCGTTCGTGTTAAGATACAATAGAAACGATTAAAAAACAAAAAAATATATATATATACATATACATATATATATATATATACTTGTATAATATATATACATATATATATGTATATATATATATATATATTAAACATACATTTACTTAAAAATCAAAATAATTATTCGACATTTAGAAAAGAATCACCTGCCACCGTAAGAATAGACATATTTCAAAGCGAGCAAGCTGTCACGTTCAACACAAATAAGTTGTTATCGAACAACTTTAAATCATAGATGACATTGTGTGTTACTAAGTATCAATAATTTATAAAGATTTCATAACAAATAATGCGATGTCTAGAGTTTCAAAAAGAAAAACAAATACTATTTCCACTATATAGAAATCACAGTTGTTTTTTTCTTATTCAAACGTAGAAGTAAATTTAAGTACGAATTTTTAACCGATTAATTCCTTCCGAATGAGCGGCCATAGTGATGCTTGCATCAACCAGCGCCATGACTGGTAGGACCACCATTCAGCTCTACCAATTGCACCAACACAAATAACACTACTGCTATAAGGTAGCCTAATAGTGTTACCTTGTTGCAATCTATATATATTCTATATTACATGCATAAGATTTAATACGATTGTAGATTTTAAGTCCAAACATTTGCATCACAATCACACAAGATGAACGAAACTAAGAATTAAGGAAAGAACGACGACAGTCTCTCGATCGTGGAATTATTGACATTTATCTAAAGGTAAGAGACGACCAATCACATAAGCAAGACTACGATGATAATTGATTGATCAGCCGTTTTCCGTAATTCACATATCAAGGCTACCATCTTATCCACTATTTTATCTGTTTCAAAGTCCAAAATCCATTTAATTTATACAAATAAAGGGAATAGATCGATATATGATACATGATATATAAATATATGTATAATTACATGCCTGCATATACATATATATATATATATATGCGTGTGTGTGTGTGTGTGTTTTGTGTTATGTCGTGTGCGCGCGTATGTATATGGACGATAAAGGCAATCAGTTAAATTTCATCTATAAAAATTCCCTAAAGAGAAAATCGTGAAAAAGGATAAGCGACAGTGACATTTATTTTTAGATAGTTACTCATTTGGTCAGTACATACGAGAGGTCAGTGCACGTCACGTAGGTACCATTCGGAGTGCAAAATTTGATGAAAATTTATCTGATTTTGTGGTTAAAAAAGGAGTCTTTCCTGAGACTCTCTCGCGGCAGAACATTGGGGGACAGTTCGCAGAGGTCTCAGGTTTAGGGAGAATTTCTAATCTACGTAAAATAGTGGCGAACGTTTGAAGAAGTGATCGCGTATACTTTGGAAGTATTCGCGGTGTCCTATGTAATATTTTGGTGTTGCATTTGAAAACTGTTCTTTTCTTAAAGCATTGCTGTCGTTTCGACGTCTGTAAAGAACAGACGGAGCGTACGACAGGTTATGTCAGCTGGATTGGCAGGTGCTGTCTCAAATCAGGTCAGTGTGTTGACTTGCTACCACACTGCTACTCTGCACATTCCTTTCACTGAAGCAGCCATTCTAAATTTTCTATATTTTTTCATGCAACGGAATGCAGCGGATGAAAGGGCAAACCAACAATCAAGGTAAGACCTTTTTATTGTTATTACTTTTTTTTTACGTCGCTCTTTTAACTTTTTAAGCGTGTATGCGTCTTATAGTGTATGTACTGTTAACGCGTGATGTGTGTGTGTGTGTGTGTGCGTGCGCGCGCGCAAGCGCGCAACAGAATGTCGTTTAATACGTATAGGGACCTAGTCCATATCTACCTATACATACATATACATATATACATAATATTTGTACTGTCTATGCAACATATTATCTACATATTTCTATTTTACAAATCTTTTCTTTTTCTCTCTTTCTCTCTCTCTCTCTCTCTCTCTCTCTCTCTCTCTCTCTAAATATATTTATTTTCGTATTACACAGGAAATTTAATTATCCCAAATATGAATACATTTAAAAATAAATAACAATGATTATAAAATTTCATACAATTTCCATGTTCTGCTTCTTTCAATGTCCATTGCCCAATGAACTACAAATAAATAAAACAAATATATTTTTGAAAATGTTCATTACTTATATACATATGATTTAACGTTTCATTTTTAAATATAAATTTACTTGTGTATTATGATTTGTATTTGTAATTAGTTAATATTTGTGTATACGTTTATATATTCTAAGCTATGATTAAACATAAATGCTTCCTCTTCTTCTTTATTATTATTATTTATAATAATCCGATATAATATTAGTTATTAAAGAGTAAGATTTAATATACACTATCAGCGTAATTGAAGAACGTTGTAAATGTATTTGCTCACAAAACCTTTATTATTACAAAGAATTTAATTACCTTTAATTCAGAAATGAATATTTTATATTAATGTATGTACTTGTTTTTATACTTGAGAGATAATACACATTTAATAATATATTTTTCAGTTATATATGTACATTTTTTTAATATCATGGCTTTCGATAACCCATATTGGAATATTCAAATTATTAAGAATTATGTGATTTGGTGTTAATATTTTTAAGGCATTGTAAATTGTACATTATTATTAAGTTAATTAAATATAATATTATATTCTATAGTAAGCAATGGTCCAAAGGAACATCAGCAACAGCAACAACAATCAGAACATGCTGCTGGAGAAGATACTGGGTTTGATTCATGGAGAGGAAGTAATAATACGCAGCATCATTCAAGTTATCCAATTAGTACCGGCGATCCTTATAGTCAATACTATGCAGGAACATCATTTCCTTATCAAGCGTTTGGTGCCGGGGATGGTACCTGGTCAAATGGAACAGATCCAGTTGCATTTCTCTCTGGATACGGAGGTCAAATAAGCCATGATGCATATGGTATGGATGGAATGTTCTCCAGTGCTGGTGGTGGTTTTAGTACATTTGGTCAACCAGCATTCAATTACTTTCATGGAAATGGTGATTTTAGTGCTTGGAGCACACCTAGAAAAACTCGCTATGAAGATTATTATCAGGCACCAAGAGGAAATGAGAGTTACCCGACACCGAGTAGCGCTACTATTAAGACTATTGAACAAAGTGTACAAAGCTTATCGATTGGAAGCGGGGAGGTTCCAAGACAAGATCAACAAACAACATCTAATCAGCAGATCAAATCTGAAGCAAAGGAGCCAAGGAAAGTTACTTGGGCAAGCGTAGCGAGTCAACCTGCTAAACCTGTTCCTCCGCTTTCTTCGTCGCAAGGAATGAAAAAGAAAGCTGGAATGCCACCACCACCTATTGTACCAGGGAAACACAATATGGATATAGGAACATGGGGCGAAGGAAAATCATCTGCTCCTCCACCGCCAACTGCACCTCCACCACCGCAAGTGCAACCTCCAGTTCCACCCCCTCCGCCACCTGTTCAGAGACAAAGACCACCCCCTCCACCTTGCTGGAACAGGCAACAATCAACTCCTCCGCCACTTCCCCAATCGCAGATTCATATACCGACTCAATCACAGCACCAACAACATCAACAGCATCAGCAGCATCCGCAGCATCAACATCAGCAACATCAAGCCCAGCAGCAACAGCAACAACAACAGCAACAACAACAACAACAACAACAGCAGCAACAGCAGCAGCAACAACAACAACAACAACAACAACAACATCAGCATCAACAGCATCAGCAGCAGCAGCAGCAGCAGCAGCAACAACAGCAGCAGCAGCAGCAGCAGCAATCGCAGCAATCGCAGCAGTCGCAGCAACAACTTGTGCAAACTCAATCTCATCCCGTTTTGGATGAACTTAAAGTGAAAAATGATTATAATCCAGTAGAATTTGATCAGACTGCACCTGGAGCTAGGTTTTTTGTAATTAAATCTTATTCAGAAGATGACATTCATAGATCCATTAAATACGAAATTTGGTGTAGTACAGAACATGGAAACAAAAGACTGGATCAGGCATATAGAGAAGCTAGCCGTGAGGGCGCACCTTTGTATCTTTTTTTTTCTGTTAATGGATCTGGCCACTTTTGTGGTATGGCTCAAATGGTTTCTCCTGTCGATTATCAAAGTAATAGCTCTGTTTGGTCTCAAGATAAATGGAAGGGACAATTTAGAGTTCGTTGGATTTATGTCAAAGATGTCCCTAATATGGAATTACGACATATTAAATTAGAAAACAATGAATATAAACCAGTAACAAATTCAAGGGATGCGCAAGAAGTTCCTCATGCGAAGGGTGTAACAGTTTTGCGTATACTGCATACTTATCGTCATTCTACTAGTATTTTTGATGATTTTGGACATTATGAAAGAAGACAAGCAGAGGAAGATCAACGTAAAGCACCTTTGAATTCTATGCAGCATCATCACCCTTCTTCCAATCATAGAAATAGAGGACATCCAGGAGATATATCGCGAGACCATCATCAGCACTCTCAACATCATCTTCATCAACATCAACGCAAGGTAAGCATTAATTTTGTCTTATTGACGTATAATTATTTGTGAAAAATGGATAACACTCATCTAATCTTTCTTTCCTTCTCTCCCTCTCTTCTCCTTCTCCTTTTCCTTCCCCCGTTATTTTTAGGATCGAGATGGGGGCCGTGGTAGAGGAAGAGGAGGTTCTCGTCAGTAGCAATGAATACAGTGGCAAATTATTATTATTGGGAAGAAAAATGAATGGACAAGGAGAACGCTGCGACTAATTATCATTTTATTCCATACGTTCGCTTTTCAGGATTTGAAATAGGCCTTGCATTTCCATCATAGAACTCTCTCTCTCTACATCAAGGCCACTTCCTTTTGTTAAATGATTAATAATACATATGATAATTAGCGTCGCGTAAACATAATAAATATTATGTAATAATAAATATTACAAAGAAGAACGTAATTCAATTTCAAAGGATATTGGGTAAACTTGATGACGGTAATAAGTATCTAGTGTGGTGTTGCGTGTTATTCGTCGAAAGGTGTTTCTTAAACGTACAAATTAATACAAATGAAAAGAAAAAAGCAAAAAAAAAAAAAAAAGAAAAAGAACAAACAAACAGGATATGAAACAGATGAAAAAAAAAAAAACTGTAATACATGGACTAATTCTTGTAAAATGCTTAAACTTTTGTTGAAAATGTAAAAAATCTACGCGAGAACAATATTATATCAAGTGTCATTTAAATTAATCAATGTTCTAAACGTCAGTGGACATGTAATCATCCGGTGCCTGCAACTGAGAGGGCTTTCCTTTCTTTGTTAAAGAGATGCAGGAGCTTATTCAATGTTCTGTTATAATCATTATGCTTGACCATTGAATAGTAGCTATAGTTATTATCAACTGATTGTTTTGATTCATCTATTATTCTATTAACTATGGATTGCAAAAATGGTTGGAGATATTATACTAGGAAAAATAAAAGGGAGAAAAGAAGAATAGAGGAGGACAATGTTGTGTAGTTACTTTATTGTAACTTAAACAATAATATTGATGATGATGATGATGATTATTATTATTTTACAATATGACATGTATTTCACAAAGTAAGATTCTTATTGTTAAATATGTTATTATAATTTTTCTTGTGGTATAGTATAATCTCTAGAATGGATACAACAACAACAAAATATATCTTGCAAATTAGAATTATTTCTACAATGGAACAGATTTATTTTGCATTTTTCTATTAGGCTTAGATTATTATGTCTAGATCATCTCTATCTAAAAACTATGCTTTTGATGAAAGTGCTACGTAATTTAGAAAACAGTAATCTGCTGTATATCTATCAATTTTACAATCTGCAAATGCAAGTAGTAAATCAATATTTTAGGCAACTATATTATATATATATATATATATATATATATATATAACATTATATATATATAGAAAATTTACAATGTAAAAAATATATTTAAAAAGGAAAGATTACCTTCTTCCTGTCATTAGCCTTACTTGTGATTATCGATTAATTGACTAATTAAATTGACTAATTAAATGATCAGTAATCGCTGACAGTTGTCTAAAATAGTATCACTAGATTTCTGCTTCAGTTTATTTACACTTAAACAAAACTTATATTACATGATGATTGTAAACTATTTCTCTTTATGAAACAATAACATTTGTATAGACTAAAATGACTTTTATAATTCATAGTTTATGCAAAAGTGATAACACATTTGCAATAATCGATGATTATTATTTACCTTCTGCAATATATAAATACAAACAATAACAGTAATATGATGATCTTGAGTTGGATCTACTGATGTCAAAGAAATATTCCTTTTAAATGATCTTTATATGCTTATATATATTTTCAGAGAAATTGTTGATTAATATATTCTTAGGATCATCGTGGGTTTATAGTAAGTCATATTATTTTGATATAATAATATTAAAATAGCTTGCATGAATGTTGATTACACATTTCTTATTAAATTCTACAAATATTTGATATTTCTCTGTATCCTGTAATAGACAAGAAAATAATCGATTTATTTAATAGATTTGCTCTAATCAAATGAAGGCACCGATGGAAGATTTTATTTTATATTTCATTACATTTCTTTTGTTTTGTCGTCTTCAATGTTATTACAAATTTGTGAATTTAGAGAAATTTGATTCCCTGTTTCTTTTTCATCCAAGATATCTACATCGTGTTGCTTTTCTTGTATTTTCTTACTTTCTATTATTATATCATTTTGAAGTAATTCTTGTTGTACAAAATAATTACGCATATTATCTCTTATTTGTTGATTAAATTTTTCAGGATTTGCTTCCATATAACGATATACAAATAGATCAGCGCCATTTATAGTAAAGTAATGATTAAAAATATTAATTTTGGCTCCAATAAAAAAGTCCTGCGGTGTGTAATATAATGGATTATCTCTATCAGTGGCAGGTTTTGCAACTAGTGTGGCTTTCAAGAAGCACCCTTCACGACGGCCAGAATTACGTTTTTCGATCTCCTTTATTAATATAGTACCTTCGCTTAAATTGTATTCTAAAATAAAGTCACGATCTTGATCTTCAGGATGTACGTTATCCAATTTCATAGAATAACGTAATTTTCGAGGAAAGTTAGTTAATTGTCGTATAACATCTTTCTTAAGTGGTTTAGGTCTAAACGATAAACAAGAAGCGTATGTGTCTTCGGGTGTTCCAAATTTCATATGTGGAGGTATTTTAGATTCAGACAATGGCTTGGACCGATCAGTAGGAAAATCGAGAGAAATATTGTTGGGCTGAATTATCCTCATTACCTCAGAATAATATTTTCTCGTAAAATGATCACAATCATATAAAAAGAATTGTTTCCCAAATATAAATATTGTCTCACCTATCTGAATATAAAACAGAAACGACGAATTCAATTAATTCGAATCATTATCATCTTTTAAAGAAAATTAACTACAATTGACTACTTACCTTGAAATCTTTTGGCGTATAATATTCTATTACTTCATGATCTCCATATTCCATATATATTCCTGGATAGGAGGATGGAAGGTTTTTCCAATTTTTTGGTACTTTTACTCTCTTTAAAAGCATTACTACGGGATCTTTGCCATTGTTTGGTTTATGAAGCTCGCGTATTGCTATGGTATCATCCATTAAGAAATACATTATTTGATAAAAATCGTCATTCCATTTGGCATTAAATGATAAAACCATCCTATCATATTCTAAAAAACGTCGCTTAGTATCGTCGGGTATTCGAGTAAGACATGTTGTAATTTTAGATTTCATTTTACGTTCTTCTATGTACGGATCTATGGGTGTGTCTTCTTTATCAGCCACATCTATACCCTGACTATTTAAAAATTCTTTCGTAAATAGATCGCAATCAATAATATGATAAACTATCCCATAAATGCCTGTAAGTAATAGTAATATTATAAAGCTAAAATTACTTAATTAATTTAAAATTGTAAGCTAGGAAATGACAAACCAATACTGTTGATTGGTATATATTTAAGACAATTGACACATTGAAATGATGATTAACACTTACATATGTCTTTACCAATATTAAGATCTTTCCAGTGGAAATAATCACCATCGATAGTTTTTGCAATTCTATTACGCTTTACAAGTTTACCTTGCGAAAAGCCAGCATTTTCTACAGAAGGCTCCATTACACATAAAGTATCATCTTCTAAGAAATATATAATGTATACATGACGAATGCGAAAATGCTCATACGGAGAATGAAAAACTCCTTGACGAAAGAAAGCCTTAAAACGAAGACATTTTTGCGCGAACAATGCGTAATGTGGTACAAACCGTTGATATCCGTAATCACGTATACGACCGTACGTTAGCGATGGATCGTATCTAAGTTTAATATATCATCAGTCATTATATAATCGAATGTTGACAAATTAATTCAACTTACGGCAGATTTAGCAATTTCAATTTTCATAATAATCTATAAAGCTTGTAAAATAATAACTTACTGTATAGGATCATTCTCCTTTATATAAGCAAGAGATGCAGCATCGATAGGCCTTCCCCCAATACCGAATTTACTGTCATTTAATACTCGAAAACCATTTAAAAAGTCTAATCTGTGCCCGAGTCTGTAATCTTGAATCTTTAGGAGTATTAAACACATTATATTTATTATATTTCATTATTACAAAATAACGAAAATAACGACCGCGCATTTATAATATTTAATAAAAGAACATTTGGAAAAACTTACACTTGGATCGTGAAAAATATAGCCGGGTATAAGAGGTAAACTTTCCATTTAAAAAATAAACAAAGAGACACGTATGAAGACGAAAAGATTCGACTCGGCTTATTCGGATTACTATTTCAAATAATTGAATTTCTTCGACGTAGGTACTGGAATATGACTGAAAATCCACTGTAACGAGATGTCTATATTCGTTGCTATAACAACGCGATTTTATATCGATCCAATAACATCAAACAATTCTCATTTTCACGATGTAACAATGCTGCATAATTGCATTTTATTTCGATAAAAACGTTTTATTTTCTCTGCAGGTTGTGAATGATTTAAACTCAAAGAAATGGTGTTCAATTATTTATTTCTGCATGATTTATTCACAGCAGTTTTAGTATTGAATGGCTTCTTTAAATCATCTGAAATTATTTAAATAATAAAATCATAAAGTAAGAAATGTTTTAAAAATAGCCATACAGCCTGCAGATAGGGCACAAGCCACTGGTACAGTTATTAACCATGCACAAGCAATATTTCTGAACAGTTTCCAAGAAACACCCTCACCACCGCGCGATGCCCATCCAACACATACCACCGATCCTACTTTGCAATGAGTCGTTGACACAGGTAAACCAGCCTTACTTGCCAACAAAACTGTCAATGCAGCTCCTAACTAAATATTCAAAATTTCAGTTTGAATTTAAGAACGTTTTCACGTAATATA